TCGTCATTTATCAGGGTGGGAACGGGAGGTACATCAGCTATGCCACAGAGTGATTTCTGGGGCCCCTGCCCACGACAAAGCAGATCAAAAGGGAGCTCATGCCTGCCAGAGTGAAGTTTTCACCATAGCAACACGTGTGCTCTACAAACAGTCAGGACTGAGGCGCTCTGTTGTGACTGGTCCGGACAGTGCCCCCGAGAAACGAGCAACCGAGGGCTCAGACAACAGAAAGAGAAAAGTGGCACCCCTTTAGCTCGCGGGGCAGTGGTTTTTACTCCTCCACATGGCTGACAGTGGCTGTACAGAGACCCACAGCCTGTGTTCTAATGAGACAGATGTCAGAGAGAAAACAGATGTTCTCCACAGAACGGCCGTACCGCAGGCTCCCTGTGGAAAAGAGGGACCCAGGGTAGAGCAATCATCCCGTTTGGTGAGCAAACGGCCAGCACTGGAAAACTTGGGGGCAAGATCTCATTGCAAAACATGTCAGATCTGAAATGAAACGCAGCCCCTGTGCCCAACAAGCCAGTCTGATGGTGGAAGGTGTACTCACAGACCCAATAACGAAGCCAAGAGCAGCAGCGATCGGCATGTTGTTGAGACCATTGAATGAGTGCCCATGTGCCCGCCGCGGTGCTGGGCATTTCTATAGGCATCAGTCTTCATCCTGAAGTAAGGGTTAAAAACTCACTAACTGATCAACACCACCTTTCCAGAGAGCAAGGGAAGAAACAGGGATAGCGGATTCCCCATTAAGTCCCATAGGATACACTTAGGGCTTGACCAGGAGAGAAACTAGCTCCAAATTTCTGCTCTGCTGCTTAGATCACTGAGCAATGTGTGTGGAAATCCAACCACAGAATGAGGGCACCCAAGAGAATAAGTGACCCTTCTCAGTTTCCCTTGACTAATTTCTGTAGAACACCACCAAGGGACTATGTCAGAGGCTAGCGAGGATGATGTATAAAGTCAAAAGTTACAAAAGCTGGCAAAGAAACACACTGAAGCACACGGAAGGCGGTCCAAGAAACAACATCTGTCCACAGACGCATGACTGGGTCACTGACGTACCTCTTCACAGAAACACAACAGAAGCAGAACTGTTTCGCGGTGCTAACAGTCAGACAGGACCAGCGGCCTCACTGCGGGTCATGATGCCTACAGGTACACCTGGGAGGGCGTGAACTGGTGCCGAGGAACCTGTGTGTTAACAGGACTCCCCCTGTACATGCTGTGCCACATCATCCAGACAAGTCCATCATGGTGTCCGGAACAGGGAAGAAGGCAGCTCTACCACACCTACCTCCAAAGGTTCTCTGGGTCCTAAACCCTCAAGTCATCACAGACCGAACAGGAACCGAACCTACGAATGACAGACCTAGAGTTTTGGAAACATTTCCGTGCTACAGAGCCCGCAGGGCCTGCAAAGGAGCTTTAAAACCAACAAAAAAGTTTCTGTTTCAAAATGACATTTTAGAGGTAATGTATAATTGCTTCCTCTCTGTTCCATGCCTTCCCCACCCCCCACCCCCGCCTTTTTCTCATTCTCCATTCACTAATGAGAGAGTTTTCCTCTTCCCCTGCCTGTTTCAGTTTGAAACGTGGCACTGAACGGGACACTGGAAAGCAAAGGGAAAGGGGAGGGGCAGGCTGCTTTCAAATCTGACGCACACACACATACACACACCCCCGGCTGGCCGCCCACACCCTGAAGGGGAGTCAGACTGGACTCCACCAAAGTTGGGACTGCAGGACCCAACGGTGGGGTAGAAAACTCCCACTTGCACCAACTCCCCCCCAAAAGCCAGAGTTAAGAAAGAGAGAGCTGGAAGGGAAGGAGGGGGAAAATAAAGCTCCACATTCCTGACATTTTTTAGCCAAGTGCTGTGGCTGCACAGAACAGCTCTATTCCAAACAGCCTTGCAGAATGGAAAGGAAACCTGGATTCAGGGCAAAGAACCCACCCCCTGCCTTGGAAATGGGAGAAGGAATTTTAGGATGGCCCAAAACTGAACCAAAAGAGGAGGGAAGGGCACTCCTTCATGTGTGTTCCCCAAAGGAAGTGATCCCGAGGGAGGAAATTTGGAGTCATCATCTCCCAGGAGATCAAATTCTAGTCCTTGGGTCCCTGAGGGGGAAATGAAAGCCCCACTAACTGCTGGCAAGCTGAGGGGGAGCTGGGGAAGGGGCAAGGCAAGACAGAGGCTTGTTGGGATGCAAGGGGCTGTGGCTGCCTGGGGAGGGGGCAGAGGGGTCCAGCTCATTGGCAGAAGCTGGGCAAGGGACCCCGAGGGAGGAGTGGCCAGGAGAGTCACTCTGTGGGAAGAATCATGACTGCGTTTTCCTGACTCAGCTTCTGAATGAAGGAATCCTAGCCCTGCCCCACATCAGAAACCCAAGAGCCTGACATCCTCTCTCCCTGTCTCCCCCTTCCACCTCCTTCTGTCCCCACTTCTAGGAAAAAGCATGCTAAGTGCTGGACTGCCCTGCTCCTATGCATCCCTACATACACACCACTCCTCCAGGGGAGAACCCACGAGACCCTAAGTAATAAGTCCCATGCTGGGTTATGAGGTGCCACCCCTTGGCTTTACTCCAAATGTGAAGATGCCCACAGGTGTGTCTCTGAGGTCCCTTGGGAGTAACTGAGCTCTTTCTGCTCTCATTTGATAGGGAGAGCAGAGCTCCAAAAATCTGAGTATCTCTCCTATCTCTGTGGAGTCAGTTGTTAGGTAGAGACAACAAGGACCTTTGTGCCTAACACAGCAGAGCACATGTCCTTCATAAGGGGGGTTTGGGCACGTCCCTCTTTCTCACATACCAGCATACGTCATCGATACCACAAGGTACCTCCGATGCCCTGCAAACCCAACCGCTGTAGGCCTAAGCTTCTGCAGGGAGAGGGTGGGGGGAAGAGGAGTCCACAGGCATTACAGCCAGGGCCCTCCCCACGCTCCCCAGACCAGTCCCAAGAGGGGAAACCAGGGAAGGCATTTCTGTTGTTATTTCTTCTGCCCTGGACCTTTCTCTTCTATCAGGTAGTGGGAGTAAGGGCTCCTCGCGCTTTTCAACTCCCACAAAGCTCCAGGCTTAATGCATAGGACTTTCCACAAGACTAAAGGCAGGAGGGGGAAGGAGACACCAAACTCAAACCCTAAGCAGCTCTTCCAAGCAAAGCTAAAACCCACAGAGCCACAGACCTTAGCAAATGCCTGGAACACGGCAGAGCGGGCCATAAGGCTGTGCGAGAGACTCTGCTGAAGAGCGCTCGGCTCTGAGGTCTCCAGCTGTCACGTGTGTCTTTTCAACCACACCCTCCAAGACTGGTGACACGGCACACTGGGAGGCCTCTTAGAATGGAGGAGAGCAAATAGATACTGAGGGTATTGGCTGCACACAACAAACTTCTTACTGCATTAAGCTAGTAGTATGATCAATAGTAACAGGCCTTCAGGGGCAAGCGACTTGTCACATTTGTAGAATCTGTTCTGGCTTTTATCGCTTATACAATCTCGGTTAAACCTTACGATAACCTTGCGAGGAAGACAGGTTTTACTAATCTCTTTAATGATGGGGAAACTGAGGCTGCAGTCAGTTTTTCAGTCCGACTAGTGACAGAGCAGAGACTAGGACCCAGGGATGACGCTATCTTGACAAAGTTAGGGTCAATATACCATGAGAGCATCGGGGTAGGGGGGAGAGGGGAGGAAGCGGAGGAACCCTCCGGAAAGCTGGAGTACAGACCCCCATCCAGATCCCAGGTTTATCTCCTACAGACCCTGAAGCCCAGCCAAGGACACATTCACACATTCAACCCTGACTCACGGCCACAAGAATGTCCCCAGCCTGAGGGCAGCTTCCCTGGCCAAGGAGAACCTTTACCATCCTTAGGAGGCAGGGAGCCCAGAGACAGAAGGACACAGGAGAAACCAGCCACACTAGGAACGCTCCATCTCCGAAGCAGTCCAAAAATGGTAACGGCTTCCTACCCCATCCCTGAGAATGCAGATAAGCGACCCTACCCAGCAGGGAGGACCCGGTGACAGTGAGGGGAGTGTCACTCCTGAGACAAGATATACCACAGCAAGCCCTAGACTCACTTTCTTCCAGTTCCTCCCACTTTGGATATCACATTTGTCTCCCTCTGTGGGGCACAGTCTCCCTTGGATTCTGACCCCCAAAAGGCTTCCTAAAACTGCTTGGTGAGGCCTGCACCAGTGCCCTACTGTCCGGGGTAGAACCCCATCCTGGCCCCCCAACCCCACAGCTTTGAGAGATGCACCTTTCCCCTAAAAGCAGAGAGTATCCCCATCCCTCTCCTCGTCCCTGTAACAGGCGAGAAGCTCTGGGTCCACTACAGAAGGCTCTAAAGGAACAGTCCACAGGGTCACGAAGGGTATATGAAACCGGGCCTTTTAGGCAAGGGCAAAAGAAGGGGGAGGGACGGGAGGATGGCTGAAGGGCACTGCTGATATAGGGCCGGGGCCACACGTGAACACCCTGAGCACGTTCCAGAGGTGAGGATGCAAAAGACCCGGAAAATCGGAGAGTGGAAAAGAGTCAGGGTCCCTCGCATTGGAAAAGCCCAGAGAAGCTGGCAGCCACCGCCTGGGAGGGGGAGAGTTGTGCAATGACTGCGGGTCTGGGAGTCTCCGGGCTTGGCTCCCGGACACCAGAAAGGAAACCCCACTGGTCGGGCCAGGGTGGCAGCGCTGCGGTTGGTTCGAAGCCAGGCTTAGGATCCAGGGCTGCAGAGAGCGCTGCAAGATAGGGTGGGTGCTCAAGGGGGCGGCAGAGCAGGGCACGGCTGCCACGGCGCATTGCTGAGGGGTGGCGTCCGGGCTGACCGGGAGGCCAAGGGGGCGTAGAGTGCACAAAGCCGGGGCGCGGAGAGCGTACACGGCAGCCAAGCGCCCCAGCTCAGACGAGGACCCGCGGGACCTGCAGGGCTACGCCAGGCGACGCACGAGAGGCGGCACCCCCTCCCCAGTCTCGCTCACCTCGAACATAAGCCCGATGAGGACGCAGAGCACCAGGCAGAAGCCGATGTCCGCATGGTTGTGGATGACGAACTCCTGGCTGAAGAGCGGGTAACTTTTCGTCCTCCTGCGGAAAGCCATGGCAGCGGGCGCGCAGCGGCCGGCGGGGCCCGCACCCTGCGCTCTCGAGCCGCCGCGCAAACTTCTCCAGCCCCGGCCCGGTCCGCCCGCCGGCCCGCTGCCCGCTCGCCCTCCCGCCCGCCGGCCTAGCGCCCAACAACTTCTGGGGCCCGCCCCCTTCCTCCGCCCGCCCCCGCCCCCGCCGCCCGGAACCGCCCCCGGCCGCAGCCCCCTTCCCACCCGCGGCCCGCACTCGGCGCTCAGGGCTTGCTGCGGCCCCGCCCCCCGCGCCCTTAACCCTCTCGCCGCCGGGACGCGCGGGGCGGGGTGGGGCCGGCCCGGCGCGCGGGGCGGCCGGCGCGGCCCCGGCCCCCTGGCCCCGGGCCCGCGCCCCGGCCCGCCGCGGCGGCGCCCCGCTGCATGCTCACTGCTGCGGCCCGGCCGCCTCCCGCGCCCAGACAGCCGGCCGCGGGGGGCGCCGACGCCCGGCCCTGCCGGGACAGGAAGTGGGCCCGGGTTTCCCACTTCTCGGCGCCCGCTCCTTCCTCCGCGGGAGGGGAAGGGCCAGGGAGGCCGCGGCCGGGCCGAGGGGTGGGCCGGGCCGCCGGATACTTCCCGGGTTGCCGCCTGAGAGCGGCGCAGGTCCGGAGGAGGGAAGGGAACCGCGGGCCGGCCTTCTCGCCGGCCGCAGCGCCTGCACGGAAGATCAATGAATGGACCGTCAGCCGAGTATTTATTGAGAGCTCGCAGGGGCTTAGGCACGTTTCAGATCGCCGGGAATATGCCGCAAACAAACAAACAAAAGACTTGCCCTGGGGGAGTTTGTATTCCAATGAGGGGAGTGGATGGATGGGTGCAGTTTTGCTAACTTCTCTGAGAGACCTTTGTGCTATTATAAATTGGTTTTACGCGTCTTACCCAAAATCTACCTTCAATATGAATTGATCTGAGGAATAAACCCTGAAGAAGGAGGAAGACACCTTCTCGTGGAAAAATTTTATTTAATATTAAAAGGTACTCCTGGAAAGGACAAAAGGTATTTTTAATAAATTACTTTATATAGGCAAATATTGGATCTATTCCTACCAGTAATGAAGGAGTCAACTAATCACTTTCTAGATGTGCAAAAATATAAAACGAACAAAGAACTATTTAATTCCCATTCTCCTTTTCATCAGATCCACAGTTATTTCACTTTCTAAGTAAATAGGGTTTCTTAAACATGGCACAGTATATGAAATGTGATTGAAAGACAAACTAGGTTTGTCTTGACTTCCTACATAAATTTCACATCTGTATTTCTTCACTCAGTATTGAGCACACAATCTTTGGTCTTTAGTTTCTTTATCAGACTTCAGGAAATGGGAAAGTAATTTCTATATTATTTCTAGAGTTAAATGGATTAAACCCCATTTAACTTCAGGGCTGACGTTTTTTGTTGTTGTTGTTTATTTACTTTTAGAAACAGAGAGAGAAGGAGCAGGAGAGAGAAAAAGACATTCCCAAACAGGCTCCATGCTGTAGGCGCAAAGCACACCGTGGGGCTGGAACTCACGAACCTGGAGATTATGACCGAAACTGAAATCAAGAGTCAGTCTCTTGACAGAGACACCCATGTGCTCCAAGGCTGACCTTTCCTAAAGTTGGACCTGACACACGTGAGGAATAGAAAGATCAAGACCTCCAGAGCATCACACCTGTGAAAAGGTATTCACATTTTCAAACTGCTGCCACATCTATTAGGTCAAACTCTGCAGTCGGTTTCTTTCTAGGTCAGAACTGAAATACCAGCATTACACGTGGTTCAAACTAATACTTTCCTCCTGGTTCCCCACGACCATTTGTAGGGGATATCGTGGCGGGAATTTCTTACAAAAGGTGGGATATTGCCAACCTCTTAACATTGTGTTCAGGCTGAAAGTCCTGGGAGATAGGTAGTATAACCTCCACGTTTATAAATGAGAAACCTGAAGTAAAGGGGATGGCTCATACCGATGACTGCTAGCCCTGAGTCCTTTCAAAAGTAATCAAAGGGTTCCTGTTAAAAAAATTCTTTTGAGAGAGAGAGTACATGCGTGAGGGAGAAAGGCACAGAGAGAGAGAGAAAGAGAGAGAGAGAGAGAGAGAGAGAGAGAGAGAGAGAGAATCTGAAGCAGGCTCCACACTGAGCATGGAGCCCAACACAGAGCTCCAACTCACAACCATGGGATCAAGACCTGAGCTGATTTCAAGAGTCAGACGCTTAACCAACTGAGCCATCCAGGCGCCCTGACAAAGGGTTCTTCTGTGCATGTTTTGATATTTTATTTACCTTGCAACCCCCCAGAGGAAGTACCAGATGCCTACTTCAGCCATCCCAGCCATCTCTAAGCCCTACTTTCAAAACCTTCTTAGACCTCTTCCCAACCCCTTGCATCCAGTCACTCAGATCCTATGAATCTCAGAACCTCAGAATCTCTCCCAACAGTCCCCACTTCTACCATTCTTCACCTGGCCCACACTAGTTACCCACAGATACCCTGCCTCCAGTATCCCCCCCTTTAATACATCATTCCATTAGAAACATCTACTGAGGGGCACTTGGGTGGCTCAGTCAGTTAAGCATCCAACTTTGGCTCAGGTCATGATCTCACGGTTCGTGGGTTCGAGCCCTGTGTTGGGCTCAGTGCTGACAGCCAGTTCAGAGCCTGGAGCCTGTTTCATATTTTGTATCTCCCTCTTTCTCTGACCTTCCCCCTGTCCATCCTGTCTCTCTCTCTCTCTCAGAAATAAATAAAACATTAAAAAAAAAGAAGAAGAAGAAGCACCTACTGAGTGGCAAACACTGCTTGTTACCAGAGACGGAAAGGTAAGAGAATCTATGTGATGGTTTTAAAATGTCCTCAAGGGTCGCCTGGGTGGCTCAGTGGGTTAAGTGTCCCACTTTGGCTCAGGTCATGATCTCGTGATCTATGGGTTTGAGGACCGCGTCAGGCTCTGTGCTGACAGCTCAGAGCCTGCTTCGGATTCTGTGACTCTCTCAATTCATACTTGTTCTGGGGGAAGCTGGCTGCCATGTTGTAAAGATACGCAGGCAGCTTTATGGAGAGGTCCACATGGCAAGGAACCGAGGCCTCCTGCCAACAGGCAGCACTAGTGTGCCGGGCTTGCCACCTTGGAAGCAGATCCTCTAGCCCCCATGAAGCCTCCACATGATGAGCACAGCCCCTGCCAACCTCTTGACTGGATTCGGTGACTGCTTTAATATAAAGATGTACAAGAGTTAAAGGAGTCAAAACTCTAGGCTGGAATGACATAGTGATACTGGGACCATTACAAACTCTATGCAGAACAACAGAGAAGGAGCAGGTGTAAGAGAGGCAAAGATGGACTCACCTTTGGACAAGCTTGGCTTCGAGACATCCCAGATGCCACTTTGACAGCTCAGGAAGAAGCTGTTAGACTGGAGTTAGGAAGGGAAAACCAGAACTAAAGGTACTTGTGGTTCATCTACAATGGGACTGTTGAAACCATGAGGTTAAGTAAGTGATCCCAGGAGAGAGTGCTGACTGAGGAAGAGCCTGAGATCAGCAGAATCCTAGGGAACCCCAAATACTGAGGGAGGAGGAGGAGGGGAAGGAAAGTGTAGGAATGGAGGAAGTCACAACCTAGGTATTTACAAGGGTAGGTCAAGTCAGGCAGGCTAAGAATAAAAGGAAGTCCCTTGATGCAGGCATTCTGGCCTTTGAGAGCCCATTTTTAACCGGACATTGGTGGCTTAATGGTGGATAGAAGATGAGAAAAGGGGGTGAGAAAGTAGTCTATTCTTTTGAGAAGTTTGGTGAGAAAAAGGGAAATGGATGCTGTCTTGGGGGACATAGAGAATCTAAGGATGGATCTTTAAATTATACTTATTTTTTGAGATTGGAGCATGTTTGGAGAAGAAGCAGGAGAGAGAGAAGGAAATACTGAAAATACTCAAACTCTTGATACTACAGATCATTGATGAAATGAAGGAGGAGACTTAGAAAACAGCTCCAACCACAGAGGAAGAGGGAGAAGGCCTCTAGCTGTTGTGTTTGCTAGGGCAAAGACGAAGAGGGGGTGAATATATAGTTACAGCTGGAGGTGGAGGAAATAATAACCCCTTGCGTTTCTATTGCACTTGACAGTAGCCTTGTGAGGGAGGCAAGCCAGTCATTACCAACCCCTGTTGTAGCTGTTCTGAGACACACAAATGACCAAGGGCCACATAACTAGTGGGTGGCTGAAGCAGCACTCAGACCAGCCGGTCAACACAGGGTTCCCTTTGCTGGACCACCCCATAGCCTTTTGGGCTTCATAAAGCGTGGCACCGATCAGGTGGATACCATCTGCCTCTCTCCACCTGTCCTGTTATGGCTGCTGATAATTCTGCCACATCAACTCCTAACTAAATTGGAGTAGCCCCTCTTTCCAGAACAGACCATGTGGCTTCCAATTGCTGTGTCTCAGTTCCCCTCACAAGATCTTTGTTCCATGTCCCTTTGCCAAAGAGGTAACCATCCTTCAATATAAAAAGCATGTACCTCTTCTTTCACAAAGCTGTCTTCAGGGCACTAGGCTGGAGGCATGCATACTGCTCCTTCTGCATACCTCTCAGGAAGCAGCACATTCTTCTGGTGTCCATGTATTTGTCTATGAGTTTTACACCCTTTTGGATAGTGTCACCCTTCAGGACAGGAATCTAGGCATTTGCTCTCATTTCAATAGCACCAGGCATAAGAATGCCACATAGTATATTTTCATCATGTGTTGGTTGAATGAACGGTTGAACGAGAGATGCTGTTACCTTGGCTGGCATAAATATAACCATTAGCCGCAGCAAATGGAAAATATATTTTCTCACGTAATAAGAAGTCCTGAGTTCGTTCATTCCCAGGGGTAAGTGATTCATCGAAAACTAAGATCTCACTATCTTTCCACATTGCCACTCTGTGTTTGCTTTTGACTCAGATTTGTCCCTCGTGGTTACAAAGTGGCTGCAACAGCTCCAGGCATTCTGTCCTTCGTACAACAAGACCAACAAATCAGACAAGAAGGAGAGGGGCATTTTGAAGAGTAAAGAAAACTTTCCCAGAAACCCCAGGCTTCTCCTACTG